CTGTCCAGGGCCGGAGGGGGCGGCAGGGACCCTGTAGCCCGAGGGGAGACCGGATGGACAGGAGGCCAGGCGGGGCTGCAGGCTCAGGACTCTGATGGCGCCACCACCCTGGACTCCGCCTGACTCTGCACCCATGCGCTATGGGTGTTCAGGAAAAGTCTGAATTTCCCTGAGCCTTAAACGGCTCAGTGCAAAACGGGCATCGACCCCACGGAGGGTTAGGTGACATGAGGGGCAGGGAGTGGCAGGGGACCAGGCCCCGGAGCTGCCTGCCTGCCGGTCCAGGGCCTCCTCGTGGGAGCCAGTGTGACACACAAGCCTGGGGCCTGGGCCCCGAGCCTGGCTGTCACCCAGGAACCTGCCAGAAATGCAGCTTCCCAGGCCGCCCAGGCCACTGCCTAGCTGCTTGGGGGGACACGAGGCACTCAAGCCCTCAGCTGACCCTCATGCCGCTGAGTCTGGGAACAGCCCCCACCCCGATTCCAGACTGGTCCCCATGAGCGCCAGGTGCTGACAGCATCCAGGCAAAGGGCTGAGGGGAGCTTCCAAGGAGGGGCTGGGCAGTCTCCATCCAAGCCCTTGAGGAACCCCGGGAGACACCAGGGTTGTAGGGACTCAACTGGCACTAGAGGAGTCTATGGGCACCACTGAGGAAATGTTTTTACCAAAAATCACCCAAACAACCCATCAAAGATGGGCATGGCAGTGCAGGCCTATGACCCCAGCACTTGGAAAGCTGAGGCAGGAGGATCGCCTGAGTTCAAGCATAGCGCAGGCTACACAGTGAAAAATCTCTCTCTGTCTCAGTCCCCCCCCCCCGCAAGGTCTCACTATGTGATTCAGACTGGCCTTGATTTGAACCTGCAGTCCTCCTGCCTCAGCCTCTCAAGTGCTGGGATCACAGGCGTGTGCCACCACGCCCAGCAAAATCTATCTGAAAACAGCACCAAAACCCAACTAAACAAACAGTGCTTCAAATTGACTTCCCTTTGCAATAAATGTGGGAGACAAGAGGACAGCTGAATGAGACCACAGGAAGCAGAGGGACAGATCCAGCATGTGAGATGGGACCCTGTAGAGAAAAGGACCCGTTTCTGCAGCCATCAATGGCCACAGGGCAGTGGGGCCTTCTGGGGTTAGGAGACACCGCAGACAATGACCCAGAAGCAGCTGCCAGCCTCGCGTGGGTGCCAAGCACTCGAAACAGGGCCGATCTGTGCTCCGATGGAACCCAAGTGTTTAGGCAGCAGAGAATGTAGGCCAGGTATAGTAGCACACTCCTGTAACCCTAGCTACGACTTGTGAGGCTGAGGCAGGAGGACTGCAGGTTCGAGGCCAGCCTGGGCAACTTAGGGAGACCCTGTCTCAAAATATGTATTTTTTTGTTTTTGTTTTTGGTACCGGGGATCGAACTCTGGTCCTTGCACTTGGGAGGCAGGCACTGGAACCGCTGGGCTAAATCCCCACCCTGTCTCAGATTGAAAAGTAAAAAGCACTGGGACTACAGTTTCACGGTAGAGTGCTTTGGAGGCCCTGGGTTTGATACCTCAGTAAGAATTTTTATGATTTCATGCTGAAATATTTTTAGTACATTGAATTGCATAATATATATTAAAATGAATGCCATTTACGTCTTTTAACTTTTTTCAGTGTGAGTATTAGAACATTTCAGATTATACCCATAGCTGGCATCTGAGACTTGATTTCTATTTTTGTTGGTACCGCCACAGACTTTATGTAGATCCTGAACCAGGGAACTAATTACCTCACTCAGTTCTGCTCATTTCATAGATGAGAACGAAATAGTTCAGTGAATTATATAGTTCAAGAGAAAATGCAGGGCATGGTGGCGCACGCCTGTAATCCCAGCACTTGGGAGGCTGAGGCAGGAGGATCACCATGAGCTGGAGGGCAGCCTGGGCTACATAGTGAGTTCCTGTTTCAAACAAAAACAAAAACAGAAAAACCACCAAAAGACCAGATGCGACCTTTTGTTCCACTCCCAGTCAAAAGGCATTTTTATGACAATCAAGGAAATTCAGTTACAGACAAAGTGCTACATAATCACAAGGCATCCAGCTAATTTCATTAGCACTGTGATGAGAAGAGAAATGCATCCCAACAAGTTTGCAGATGGCGGGCAGTGACTGCTGTGGTGCCCTTCGGAATACCCCACAGGGGCGGGCTCAGCAACGGAGACAAAGAAGCAAAATAAAACAGAATGGAGGAGGAGAGAGAGGAAATGGAAGAGGAAGAAAGAAGAGAGAAGAGGCTGGGCCTAGGGGCACACGCCTGTAATCCCGGCACTCGGGAGGCTGAGGCAGGAGGATCGCTCTGAGTTCAAGGCCACCCAGGGCTACATAGTGATTTCAAGGCCAGCCTGAACTACACAATGAGAAAATGATTTAAAAAAAAAATGATGCCAGGGATCAAAACCAGGGCCTGATATATGCCAAACCCTGAGCACACATCCGCAGGCCCCTGGGGGTTAAATTACTTTTTAAAGCCTGGCACAGTGACCTGTACCTATAATTCCAGCTACCTGGGAGGCTGAGGCCGGCCCGGGCAACTCAGTGAGACCCAGTATCAAAATAAACATAAAAAGGACTGCGGGTCCTTTTTAGCTCAGTGGTACAGCACTTCCTTAGGGTTCAATCCCTAATAATGATAGGGAAAACAACTTAGGAAATGCCACAATGTAAAATAACTTGTGCCCCTCACTCTGCTGAGTCCAGAATTAACAGGTACCAGAGACACCTAGCCTCCCCACACAAGTTTATAAGTGAAAAGAACCATTGTTAGCTTTGTTAATCAAACAAGCTCCCTTCCCCTGGCTAGAGTAGGCAATTGAATGAATCTAAAAGGTAACTTCCCTGACAAAGAACTGCATCCGGGTTGGAATTCAGCTGCCTTGCTATCATGTTTTGGGTATCTGTGAAAATGCAATGTAACCAACTGAGTAAGATCAAAGCTGTAAAACCCTATAAAAGAAGGAGTTGTAGCCCAGTGGAGGAGTCGATCAGGGCACTGCCATTAGGTGTGATCGATCCCCATCGATGGAGTAAACTTTATTTTACTTCCATTCTGCTGCCTCTCTGTGTGTCACTTGCAAATTCCTTCCGTAACAATACCACACACACACACACACACGTGTGTGGTCTCCAGACTGGGGCAGCAGCACCGCCTGGAAGAGGTGGTAAGAACTGCACATTCCCCGCTGTGTCAGAACAGGCCCGGTGACAGGCTGTGGGCTGGGTGGGTGCAGGGTGGGAACGGCTCTTGCTGGCCTGAGTCAGCTCCGAGCTCAGAGCCGCCACCTCCTGTTTCAGGGCAGCGGCCGTGTGGGGTGGGCACAAATACAGGATGGGCAGCTCCCCACCTAGCAGAGCGAGTCTGCTCAGGGGGCCCCAAAGGAAGAGGGACAGCAGTTTCTTTAAAGAAGCATGCTTATAATCCCAGCATTCGGGAGGCTGAGGCAGGAGGACTGCTGGACTACACAGCCAGATCCTATCTCAGGAAAAAGAAAAGAAAAAAGCTGAGGAAAAAAAACTGACTCATGCCCAAGCAGGCAGCAGCGGGCCGGTGTAGATGGGTACCTGGCGGGGCAGTGGGACAGGCATCGCCTCCCGGATGACAAGCTACAGAAAGGCCACAGTGCCCGAGGACTGCGGGCTGAGGCGACAGATGGCAGTCACCGCGGAGATGGGAGCCCCAGGTCCCTACCACAGCAGCTGGAGGAGCCCCTCGCCCAGAACCTACGCCACCCGACGGGGACGCCGTGCTGAGAGCATGCTGGTCACCGGTCTGGGTCCCCTCTAGGAAGACAGCGGGGGAGGCCTGTGCATCCCGGGCTGGGGTGAGACAGAAAAGGCACAGGCAGCTTCCCTCAAAAGGAAGGACGTCGCGCTAATGTCCACTCACCCCAGCCTGGGCATCGGCTCACACCGCCCACTGGCTCTCGGCTGGTTTCCATGGTGATGGACAGACAGGCCTGCCCTGGCCTTGCTCTGGGACAGCAGGACACCAGATTAGTACCCGGGGGCTCCAGGGCTCAGCTGCCAGCCCGGGTGGACAGTAACCCTTGACATCTCAGTAGCTCCCTGTTCCAGCTGGTGGCCTGCCCAGAGCCACCGCCTGCCCCAGGGCCCTGGCTGTCACCCTTCCTTGATGCTGCCCAACCTGACAGGGAGCCCTGGGGGTGCGGGTCACAGGAAAGAGTGGAGAAGGTTCCCTGTCACCGTGTCAGCCGGGATCACACACAGGTAAAGGAACGTTCATTTAGGAAGTATTCATTTATGACCAGTCAGTCACATCTGCAACCTAATTTCCATTTTCCAGAAAAGGAGGCTGAGGTAGAAATTGAGGAAAATAGCGAAAGGAGCAAAGCCAAAAAATGAATCCACTCCCACCCAGATCCTTCAACTTGCTAAATCCATTGCTGCCCCAGGGCCTTTGTACTTGCTGTTTCTGCTGCCTCTCAAGCTCCACTTCCCCTTGGCCAGCACCATCCTGCCGTGCAGAGCTCAGCTGAAGGCCCCCTTCTCAGAGAAGCCGTCCTGACCAGCCTCCTGACCTCAGCACGTTGTATCCATTCTAGTACGTGCACCGATCTGGTATTTGATATTGTATTTTTTCCACCTCTTCCACTGAGATGTAAGCTTTATACAGGCTGAAAACCTTGTCTGTCTTTTTTTTTCTTTTCTATTTTTGAGACAGGGTCTCGTTCTGTAGTCCAGGCTGACTCTGAACTCCTGACAATCTTCCTGCCTCAGTCTCCCGAGTGCTGGGATGACAGGCTCGGCCATGTTTTCTGTCTTTTCAGCCCCAGCATAAAGATAGCGGTAAGACTACAAACGCGGCGCCTTCTGCCTGGCAGGCGTGAAGGTACCTTACACACGTGTTCATGCGCTCCATCCCTGCAGCTGGCCTCTCAGGGAGATGCTCTCTTTATTCCTATTTTACAGACTGGGAGGCGAAGGCACAGAGGGTTAAGTGGCCAGCCAAGGTCACCAGCTGGGAAATGAAGGGGCTGGGATTCACCCCCGGGCAGGTGGGCTGCAGAGCTGCCTGGGGACCCAGAGGCCCTGACGGATGGATGGATGACTGGGCGCCAGCTGCCCCTCTGCCCCCAACGTCCCCCCTCTCACCTCCATTGGAGAGCCGTGGGGGTGCGGCCCGGCCAGGAAGGCTCCAGGGTCTCCCGGGGGCCTTCAGGGGGACAGAGGGCTCCCGGGGACGGCCGTGCCAGGCCTCCCCAGACACCCGCCGCACCTCCTCGGTCACAGCCTCGTCACGGCGTGGGGGCGCCAGGGTGATGAACACAGAGGAGGCGACTCTCTTCTCGGGTTTCAAGGCCATCGCTCCGGGTCCTGCAGGGACGGGCAGAGCAGCTCAGGGCGAGGCAGGCGGCACAGCCCACCAGGTCCCAGAGGGCTGGGGCTGGGGCCTCCTCCAACAGGACGGGGCTACCACCCCGATCCGCGAGCTGGTGACCCTGCCGGCGCCCCGTCCAGCCAGGGCACAGGGTTCCCTGCCCTCCCTGCACCGGGATGGCTCTCTTGGCCTCACAACCTGAGGAAGGGGAGTCCTCATAGCCAGGGCCATCCCCAGACCCCGTCCCTCACCTGGGGTCACAAATCCTAGAGGAGCTGAGGTCCTGTGGGTCCCGGGAATCCTGCGGCACAGGGCACAAGAGCGGGAGCTCAGAGCTTCTGGGTGCTGGCCGGCTGCTCAGCAGCTCAGACGCAGGCGCCCGCCAGGCCCCGCTCAGCTCTTCCCTCCCGGCCCGGCCTCTGCTTGGTCCCCTATTACCAGCGTCCTCCAGCCCCATCTCCCAAACCATGGCCCCGGCTCAGGCCTGGGTAGCAGCAGGGGTGGTGGCTGGACCCCTCTCCCTATTCGAGAGCATCCATCTTTGTAGCTCGCCAATCACAGTTTCTTTTCCTGTCTTCCAAGGCACCCTACCCACTACCTGAGGACGAAGCTTCACTCCGGGGCCTCGGCCTCTGTTACTCTTTGGTGCTTGGGTGAACCCAGGGCCTGTGTGCCCAGCCAAGCGCTGCAGACCCTGAGGGCTGAGCTGCACCCCCACTGACCGCCCACAGCGCTCCCTTCCCTGTCTTCGTCCCCTCACCGGCCGCACCATGTCCTCACATCCCCGTCCCGCTCAGCAGAGTGGTCTTCAGCTTTCTGGAGGCCCGGCTCCAGCGTCACCCCCTCCACGTGGCCTCCCAGACCGCTGGGCCTGGCCCCTCAATGCCGGCCGCCACAGGACACGCCGGACACTATCGATGCCTCCAGCGGCCTTCTCCATGGGCCAGTACAGGGCCCAGGACTGCGGCAGGTGGCCCCCAACATCAGGAAAGGGTCCTTTCCTCCTCTGGCACTGGGCGGCCTCCCGGAGAGAGGCAACTTGGCCAGGAACACAGTGCGGGGCCGCCCTCAGCTCTGAGTCCAGTGGGGCACCCAGAGACTTTGCCCAGGGCTAGAAATGTGTCCTTTATCTCTCTCCCTCTTTGTGGCTGGAGCACCTTGATGTGATCCTGCAGCTCTGCACAGGGAGGGTGGAGAAGACAGGGCTGCAGGCCCAGCAGGACGCCAGGGCCCAGATGGTGGACTTGGAGGCCACAGAGAGTCTGAGTGGCCCGCACAGAGCCTCCTACCAGCCACTCTCCAAGCCCACTGGCCCCTGAGCTCTCTGGGTGATGAACGGAAAGTAACAGCAACAAAAACAGCAGCAAACTCCCAAATTCTTCTGAAGTCCATTTAGACTTTTGGTTAAAAATACATAGAGCCGGGCCGGGGATGTACCCGGCACCCAGCCTACCTCGCAAGTACAAGGTCTTGAGTTTGATTACCCCATACCCCCAAAAAGAAAAATGCATATAGCCAGTCTGATACTGACACAGTTTTCAAAGTTGTTTTTTTTTTCCAGTGTCAGGGATTGAACCCGAGGCCTTCACTCTGGGCTATAGCCCCAGTCCTTTTATTATTTTTTATTTTGAGACAAGGTCTTGCTAGATCATCAAATTACCTACCCTGGGATTGAATTTGCAATCTTCCTGCCTCAGCCTCCCAGGTTAAGAATCTATTTTTGTACACAATTTTCAGAGACTTACAGAGGAAACCACAATAGTACTTGCTGTGCCAGGAGCTGTACTCAGAGTTCTGTGTTCCTCAAAACTCACAAGATTCTTAAGCCTGCCGTGGGAAGGTAATTTCTGTCCTCAACTCATAAACCTGAGACTTTAAGTGAATTTCTCGGGTGCTCCACAGGCAGATTTTGGATTCTAATAGGAAATTCAGGGCATCCTCAGACCCCACCCCACACTTATTTTTTGAGTTAGGGTCTCACTATGTAACTCAGGCTGGCCTCTAACTCAGTGATCTTCCTGCCTCAGCCTCCGGAGTGCTGGGATTACAGGCTGTGCCATCACACCTGGTGCTTTTCATCCCTGGCAGATGTGCCCCACCTCCAAGTCCCCAATCAGTTCTCACCACAGAGCTGAACGGCTCAGACTGGTTCCTTGTGTTCAGTGCTGCAGGGTAGGTCCCAGAGCAGCTGTGGACCTTTGGGACTCCCTCCTCTCTGCACTCATCCCGACCCACTCCTCCTACTCCCGGAAGCCAATCTGCCTGCTTTCTCGGAAGGAGTCCAGCCAGATGCGCACAGCTGGTCAACACTCCGAAGCCCCTCCCAAGGGTGACAGCAGGGACCTCAAGCCCCAGGGGAGGAAGCCAAGGATTTTCAAAGCCCAGTCAAGGCTCACCCTGGGCGGGTCACCCAGCGGGCATGTGAGCAAGCTGCCCGCCTGGGGCACCCGGGGGACCCGCCACCCCCATCTTTCCTCCCTAGAGAGCGAGTCAGAGATCCAGTTGGGTAAGCAGAGAAAGTGGGAACAAAGGAAAGGAAAGTCATTTCCTGCCAAGAGGAAGGAAGGAGGCTGGGACGAGCCAGCCACTGGCAGGCGCGGGCTGCAGGCAGCAGCGGCGGCAGGAGAAGGGCTGGCCGGGGGAGGGCTGCCCCGTCCCAGGCCTGGTCCCCTCCACCCAGAAGCACCTCTGCAACCAGCTCTCAACTTCCTTCCTCGAGGCCTCCATAAAGCAGCCTGCGTCTGGGCCCGGGGTTAAACTTGGGGGGGTGCACCCCGACGCTGCTCCCTAAGGAACCTCGCAGCCTTGGGGAAGGGTACCTCCTCCTCTCCCCTAACTCAGGGACAGGAACAGGCACAGAGCTGGGCTCCAGCTGCGCCCCACCTCTGTCCTGCTGGGTAACCCCAGAGCAGGTCATCCAACCTCTCTGGGCCTGGTCCAAAAAGTTGAGAACAGGGGTCGGTGCTGAGAGTGGCCGAAGGGCAGGGGACAGGGCGCTCGGGGTCTCGGCGCTGACGGGTGTGGAGCGGGGTCGGCGGACACTGGGCCCCGAGAGCGCGGCGGAGCCCCTCCCCCTCCCCGACAGTTCCCCACCAGAGGAGCCGGA